CACAGACACAGACACAGACACAGACACACAGACAGACACACGTGTACACTCGCCATCGCCGACCGCCATCCCTTCAAAACACACGCCCCTTTTATCACCTGTGCGTGGGGTGTTGGACTTGAAGACACTGGATGTACCACGCCCCTTGTGCGCGGGGCTGTTGCCGCCATCTTGCGTCACTTCATAGGCGCCTGGGCCTGGCGTGGACGGCACTTGTGTTGACGCAAGAAACTTGCGGCGGGCCTGTGGCGACCAGTTGCGCGTGCTGCTGCTCACGCTGTGACGCTGGCGATGCTGGTGGTGGTAGCGGTCGCTGTACCCCGCGTACTGATCATACACGTCGCTGCTGCCACCATACTCATACCCATCGCCATATCCACGGCTGCTGCTGTACGTGCTGCTGGCCGTGTCGTAGTAGTAGCGAGCGTCAGCGTGCGCACCGCCACTGCCACCGCGACGCTGATATCCGCCGCCACCGCCACCACCGCCGTAGTGTTGGTGGTCTGTGTCGCGCATGCGAGCAGGGCTGGCGTCTGCGTGAAGCTGTCCATATTGGGAGTACATGAGCGCTTCGCTGCCGCGTGCCGCCACGGTGTTGGCCAGACGGGAGGCAGGGCCCGCGCAGCCTGGACACGGGTGAGGGGAGGAGAAGCAGAGGGTGAGGGTGAGTGTGGGAATGTGCGTTGCGTGTTGATGGGCGATTGAGTGAGACGAGGGCGAGAAGGAGAGGGTTTGTGAGTGAGTGAGTGGATGAAAGAGGGGGAGGGGTAATGAAAAGGAGCATGCGTCCTGCATTGCCCTGAAACGGATAATAATGCCAGGCAGTGTGCCCTGTGTGCGCTGTGCTGTGCTTACTTTGCGAGGAGAGCAACGTGCTGCTGCTGTTTCGCTTTGGACGCGGGGGTGTCCGATGCCACGTTATACGACCCTATTGTATTGTGTGAGTGTGTGTGAATGTGTGGGTGTATGTTAGTGCATGTGTGGGTGTATGTGTGAGTGCATGTGTGTGTATGTGTGCGTGTGTGAGTGCATGTGTGTGTACGTGTGTGTACGTGTGTATGTGTGTGTGAATGAGAGCGTGTGGGTGATTCCATGTACATCTATGTGCATGTGTGCGTGTGTCAACGTGTGCATTGACATGTGTGCACCTGGTCCCGGCGTGTGTGCTGTTGGAGGCAATGGCGATTCCCGCTGAACAGCCGAGCGGAAGCTGGAAGTGGGCTGTTGATGCTGCAGTTGATGCTGCTGTTGATGCTGCTGCTGATGGTGTTGATGTTGTTGTTGATGTTGGTGCAATTGATGCTGCTGATGGTGGTGTTGATGCTGTTGTTGTCCATGGCGCTGATTGTGTGGGGAGCGGGAAGGGGAAGTGGAGGGTGCGGGCGGTGTTGCGTGGAGGTTGTACGAGCCTGTTTGTGGAATCGGCGTTACGCATGGCGTGAACACGACGGAGCGAGGTCATGGCGGGCAAAGATCGGGCAAGGATCGGGAATCGAGGCGGGAGGGAAGGAGGGAGGGGGAGGAGAACACGGGGACAAGAGGGGAATGCTGTTCAATGTGTCACCTCAACTTCAACGTAAACACACACACACACACACACACACACACACACACACACACACAAGTACACACGTACACACACACACACACACACACACACACACACACAAGTACACACGTACACATATGATGCATCACAGCAGCACCACCACGATATCACGATATCGCGATCATGAACACGGCTGGGGCCTCACCTGGTCCCGGCGTGTGTGCGGCTGGAGCCAGGCCAAGACGGGTTGACTTGGACTGAAACGCACTCCCTGGGTAAACCAAGGTCATGGGTTGTAGTGCCAATGTGTGA